CGACCTCGAAACTGAGGTGGGTGCGCAGGGCAGGGGCTGCCAGGGTGTTGATGGTGTCCTCCAGAGAGGGGCTGACACCCTACCTGTGCCTGCCAGGTGTTCTTTGGAGGGGTGATCGACCACGATAAGCAGCACCTCACGTACCGGCAGAACTTCCGTGGCTGTGTGGAGAACATCATGTTCAACGGGGTCAACGTCGCCGATCTGGCCCGGCACCGGCGGCCCAACATTCGCTTTGAGGTCCAGCCTGGGGGATGGCCCCTTCTCTCCCTGCTATGGGGGACCCTGTCCTGGGTGTCCTTAGCCCCACTGTGGGGTGCCCCCTTCCCTGGGGTAGGGCTCCCTGCCTGCTGTGGGGTGATGTGGGGCCAGGCAGCGGCCATGCTCAGCCAGGCGGTGCCAGATTGACCCTGCAAGGTTGTCCCTGGCCTGGGGCACCCGCATGGCTCTGCCAGGCATTGGGATCAATTTGGCATGATTGAGGCCAGCACTGCGGGGATGAGAGGGGGACATTCCCTTCCTCACCCCTCTCATGGTCACTCCCAGGGCAAAGTGGGCCACTACTGCCAGGACCAGCTGACCAGCCCCATCACCTTCGCCGGCATCAACAACTACGTGCAGGTGCCGGGGATCCCGCGGAGGAACCGCCTGGCTGTCAGCTTCCGATTCCGCTCCTGGGACACCGTGGGCCTCCTGCTCTACACTGGCTTCTCTGACCGCCTGGGCTCCCTGGAGATGGTGCTGAGCGAGGGGCAGGTCAATGTCTCCATCGCCCAGCCTGGCAAGAAGAAGCTGGAGTTTGCTGCAGGTGGGCTGGGGGGTCAGGCTGGCAGTGGAGCGTCCCCAAGCACCTTCCTCTCTGTTGTTATTAGATTGCAAGAGTTCTATTGTCATTACACTGCAAGGGTTCCAAATTGATAGAGTTTCGTATCTCCTTGATGTTTCTCATAGACAGCTCCTCTAAGCACTGACTCGTCCTTCTTTTCACAGTTAGCCAGCTGACTCCAGTTCCCCTCAACCAACCAATCCACTCTTTTATAACACTCCTTTTATTATCAGCTACAGCTGTGGCCTGTTAAAATCAGGCCTGCTCCTAATCTTTAATAATTAACCCAGCTGCAACTCTTTAGGGGGTAAGATTACTTTCTATATTACCTTTATTTACTCATATTCTATCCCCCTCCACCTCTCTGCACAGGGCACCGCCTGAATGATGGCTTCTGGCACTCGGTGCACCTGGTGGCACGGGAGGGCTCAGCTGTGGTGACCATTGACGATGATGATGGTGCTGAGTTCCGGGTGGCACACCCCTTCCAGCTACGCACTGGCAGCCAGTACTTCTTTGGAGGTGGGCAGCAGGGCGGGGTCTGGGGCAATGGGTGCCTGGGGGCTGCTCACCCCCATCTCTCTTGCAGGCTGCCCCAAACCAGCTTCAGTCACTGGGTGCAGGTCGAACCAGACGGCTTTCCACGGCTGCCTGCAGATGCTGAACGTAGACATGCAGCCCGTGGACGTGGAGCTGCTGGCACTGCACCGGCTGGCACAGTACCACAACGTGTTCTTCAACGTCTGTGGGATCACAGACAGGTATTGACCGGGGTGAGGGTGCTGCCTGGGAGTGGAGGGCACTGGGGGCTGTGCTGGTGCTGGGACAGGAGCTCTCTGTGCCCTCAGGTGCACCCCCAACCTGTGTGAGCATGACAGCCGCTGCATCCAGTCCTGGGATGACTTCATGTGCATCTGCGACCTGACGGGGTACAAGGGGGAGACCTGCCACAAATGTGAGCCTGGAGCCTCGTGGGTCAGGGACAGTAGGGGCACCTGCAGCCCCTACTCCTGCCTGGTGTCTCCCTTGCACTGACCTCCTCTCCATTATTCTCTTCCAGCCCTTTACAAGGAAACGTGTGATGCTTACCGGGTCAGCGGGAAGACCTCAGGCAACTACACCATCGACCCAGATGGCAGTGGGCCACTGAAACCCTTCACGGTGTACTGTGACATACGAGGTGGGGGCAGCAGGAGGGCAGAGGGGACCTCTGTCTGATGCCCTGGAGCAGGGGCGTCCTAGGGATCAAGTCCTAAAGCTCCCCTCTCACTGCAGAGGACCGAGCGTGGACCATCATCCGGCACAACCGTCACTACGCCACGCGGGTGACGGGCTCCAGTGTGGACCAGCCCTACCTGGGGGCCGTGGAGTACTGGAACGCCTCCTGGGCCGAGGTCTCAGCCCTGGCCAACGCCTCTGAGTACTGCGAGCAGCGCATTGAGCTGCACTGCTACAACTCCCGCCTGCTCAACACCCCCTGTGAGCGCCGGGAGAAGGGGGTCGGTGCTGCACGGCTGCACTGCAGGGCTGTGGGTCGGTGCTGCATGGCTGCACTGCAGGGCTGTGACACGGGACAATGTCCTGACCCTCCTCTGTCCCTGCAGCTGGGCTGCCCTTCAGCTTCTGGATGGGGCGGAACGATGAGCGGCACTACTACTGGGGGGGCTCGAGCCCGGGCATCCAGCGCTGCGCCTGCGGGCTGGACAAGAACTGTGCTGACCCCCAGTACTTCTGCAACTGTGATGCCGACCATGCGATTTGGTGAGTGGTGGCAGCTGTGCAACAGGAGCTGTGGGGTGGGGACTGCAGACATGGGGGGCACAGACTCTGGGGCACTCAGATGGGGGTAACAGGGTTGGGGGCTGGCGAAGGGACAGAAACACCTCATGGCCACTCTGATGCGCTCACATTTGCAGGAGGACAGACAAGGGTCTGCTGACCTTTGTGGACCACCTGCCCGTCACCCAGGTTGTGGTTGGAGACACCAACCGCACTGGCTCTGAAGCCCAGTTTGTGCTGGGGCCCCTACGGTGCTATGGAGACCGTAAGTGAGCGGCCCCACAGAACATCCCTGCCTGCAGAGTGCCTACATGGAGGTGTCCCACATGGAGGGACCCTGCCCACCCCTCACTGCCCCTCCTGCTCCCCACAGGCAACACCTGGAACACCGTCTCCTTCAACAGGGGCACAGCCCTGATCTTCCCCACCTTCCAAGCCAACCACAGCCTGGACATCTCCTTCTACTTCAAGACCACTGCCCAGTCTGGAGTCTTCCTGGAGAACCCAGGCTACCGAAACTACATCCGCATTGAGCTCAACAGTACGGGGGGGCAGAAGGTGCAGGGTTGTTGGGGGCAGACGGGCAGGGGTCTCTTCTCAGCACCATGTCCTTGCAGCCACCAGGGACGTGGCATTTATATTTGACATCGGGAACGGGGACGAGAACCTGACGGTGCGGTCGGTGGTACCCTGGAATGACGATGAGTGGCACCAGGTGAAGGCTGAGCTCAACGTCAAGCTGGCCCGGCTGCGGGTGGACAAGCTGCCCTGGGTGGTGCGGCCATTCCCCCCACAGAGCTTTGTCCGCCTGGAATTTGACCGGCCCCTCTATGTTGGTGAGAGCCCCTGGCCACGTCCCTGCACCCCCGGGTCCTCATGTGCCACAGGGCACTCAGTCTTGACCCCACTGCAGGTGCAGCAGAGCACAAGATGCGCCCGTTCCTGGGGTGCCTGCGGGGGCTGCGGATGAACGGGGTCACGCTCAACCTGGAGGGC